GTGCATTACCCCGATTGACCACTGGGTGTCCATGGGAAACAGACTCTGTGGAATACCCCGCCTGGCCACTGGGTGTCACTGCTCCTCCAAGGGAACCACTGTGTGTGCATCATCCCGACTGGCCACTAGGTGTCACTGCTGGTCCAATGGAACACCTTCTGTGCATTACAATGAGTGACCACCGGGTGTGTCACTGCTGCTCCAAAGAAATGTGCTCAGTGCGTTACCCTGACTGACCACCGGGTGTCACTGTCGCTGCAACAGAAACACATTCTATGCATTACCCCAACTGGCCGACTGGTGTCACTGCTCCTCCATGGGAGAGAGAGAGGTACTTCATTAGCCAACCTGGCTAGCTCTCTGGCCGCCCGGTGTCACTGCTCCTCCATGGGAGAGAGAGAGGTACTTCATTAGCCAACCTGGCTAGCTCTCTGGCCGCCCAGCTCTGATGACAGTGCCACCAGCATCAGCAGTGCAGAAGTCCTCACTGAACTATGCGCGGCCCAGAGCAGGCAGAGGGTTCAGGGTGCCCCACAGCAACCCCAACAGCCCCACTCTGCCCCAGGCTCCTGGGCCTGCCGCCCATGGTTGATGCTCCCCGAGGGCTCTGCAAGAGCCAGGTTCCCCCACGCAGGTGGCTCTTGGGGGCTGCAAGCAGTCAAAGGGCGGCGGGAAGCTGGGGGGCAGACGCAGCCCCAGGGCCAAGAGCAGCAGCAGGAGAAGGAGACAGGGGAGCACCCCAGCTGCCCATCCCACGGCACCAGCCAGTGCATCAGTCATCCCCCACTGGCCGTCTCCAGCTGCCAACCTGGCCAGGAGGAGGGCAATGGGGTGACGGGGCAGGAGGCAGGGCTGGCACTTAAGAGGAACAGAGCCATAGAGATGGGTGGGGCCCTGTACCAAGGGGGGGTGCAGCCCCCCCAATTTTCTGTCTAGCCTACCTCAGCCCCCCCACGGGGAAGAGGATGGTGCCACCCATGGAGGGGAGAAATTGGGGTTTCAGGGTTTAGGGTTTGGATTACAGGGTCAGGGTCTAGGGGGTGGATTAGGGTAAAGGAGAATTAGGTTTAGGGTGTAGAGTAGGTTTGGAAATGGCTAGGAGTTGAGAGGGAGAGTCAGGGACCCCCGGGGGAGGCAAGTGGGGCAATTTGCCCCAGGCCTTGTAGGGGCCCCCACGAGAATATAATATTGCAATTTTTTTTATGGAAGGGACCCCCGAAATTGCTTTTCCCCAGACACCCTGAATCCTTTAGGCAGCCCAGGGGAGAGTAAGATTAGGGGAGGGGAGAAGTGGGGTAGGTTCTGGGAGGCAGGGTTGAGGGTTAGAGGGTTGTGTTTAATGCGAGGGTTAGGATTATCTTTAGGGATTAGATTAGGTAAGAGTTTAGGTTCAAAGGTGGGTTAGAGTTAAGGGGTTAGGGTTATGGTCAGGGTGGGGGTTATGATATAATAGGGTGATGATCAGGGTTAGTTGAAGGGTTAGGGTGCAGGGGTCAGGGTTGGGTTGCCTAGGGTGAAGGGAGGGGTCAGGATTTAGGGTTGGGTTGTGGTGTGGGATAGGGTCAAAGGTTAGGGGGAGGAGTTGAGTTAGAGTACTAGGGAACAGGAGTTAGGGTTTGGGATTAGGGTTAGCAGGTGAGGGCTCAGGGTTTGTCTTTTTTGCTCTTCTAATTGCTTGAATTGACCATTCTGTATCAATTTCCTGTAAATGTATTTTAATTCCTTTTAACAACTTTTCGAAAACATTAGTTTCATTATTATTATAACATCACCTATCTTTTTATTGTGAAATAGTAAATTACAGGTTTTAATACTCATGTTTTGTTTTTTGTTTTTTTAATGTCAGGTTATTATTTATGCCCATAACACTTGAATGCTGCCTGATTTCCTTGATTGTCTCAGCCCTGCGCCAGAAGTAGCAATTTGTGATGGATGGTGTCTGCCCTGTCACAGTTTCCTACCCCATGAAATCTCCATATTAAATTTGGATCTCAATAAAACAAATGTTTTCTAACTTAGAAAAATGTATTGTTAGAAAACTCATTTCATGTGTCCCAATTTCAAACAGAGATTTGCCAGAAGTAGCACACTGTGACAATGCATACCCCATCTGCCACAAATCGCTACTCCTAGACCCAGGGCTGGTGAATTGCATGAGGACAGCAAAAACGTGCTATGTAGCTGTCAGTAACTGCAACTGATAGAAAATTGGGACAGGGAGCAATTTGTAATAGTAGGTCCTGACACTACAGAGGAGATACTGGGATGTTTCCCCCCCCATCAGACATCAGGCTCTCCACATTAGGGACAATGGCTGCCAGGGCAGCTGGGGGCTGGTCTTGGTCTCTGTGATGAGCAGGCTACTCTGGGTGCAGGAGAGGGGCAGGTTGTTCAGCAGCCAGGAACCCAAGTGCTTGTCCGTCCCTGAGCAGCTAAGGAGCACAGTGTGCAGCTGGTCCATGGACCTGCTGTAGCGCTGCTCTGTGGCCAGGCTTGGCGGTGGCTGCAAGAGATGGGTCAGCATCAAAAACAGCACAGCAAATGGGGAGCCAGGAGCTGCTGTGGCAATCAGCCACCAGCCAAACCCACAACCCTGTCAGCCTGCAGCATCACCATCTGTCCTCCATGTGCCACACACACCTCTCCACCCCTCCTCTGTATGCCAGAGACGCTCATCTATCCATCTCCAGACATCTCTGTTTCTCACGGATTTTCCATGCAGCACCCAACACACTGAGGCCCGGACCTGAGTGAGGCTTTTGGGTGCTGCAGTAGTGGAGCTGTAGGGTGACAGTGCATCTCTAGTCTCAGCCCCTTTTCTCTTAAGCCCGGAGCCATGACTGAGTTCACACCTCTCAGGCCCAGATCCCATAGTCCCGAAGATACTCAACCAACCACTCGTGCTCTGTGATCCTGTTACATCAACAAGAATCTCCCCAAAGTCCCCATGAAGAGGAGGAGGAGTGACACCTTGAGCCTGGCAGGCAGCATGAACTCTCCTCAGCATGGCATGGACCATCCCTGGGGCAGACAGATCCTATATGACTCATACGAGACCACGGGGGGCAAGAGAGTGCATCCCACTGATCCTGATAGGAGGTGTGGACCCTCCCTCTGGGGCAGACCAACCCTCCCCCGAGATGGATCCTCCCCAACCCATGGGAGACTACAGAGTGCCAGGGAGTCTTTTCCCAGGGTCTTGCTCTGTTGCAGGCTCTCCATGTGCTACACCGTATTCTCAGCACATCAACTTTCTACAGCTTGGATTGCTGTAAGGAGTGGAGGGAGGCACTGTTAATGAGTGATGGCAGGTACAAGGATTTGGGGACTCAAAGTGCTGAGGTGTCACAGGTGGGACAGTGCCATGTGTGTCCATCCATCCCCCTCCCCCCCATTTAGGCAGTGACCCGTGGTTGCTATTTCACACTTTAAGAAAAGAGCCAAATGCCACTGTTTGTCACAGGGTAATTTTATTTAACACACAGCATTCTTCATCAGAAACTTACAACCCCCACCTTGCCCAGCACCTGCCCAAATCAGCACAGTCACTCATGACAGCAAATACCCCAGAACATACAGACCCAAAGGGCAGCAGTTTTAATTTGAAGCAATGAGATAATGCCTAGAGAAGCTAGTGAGGGTCTGTGGGGAAGTAGACAAATTGCAACTAACTACAATGGGGAAAATCATAATCCACCAGGGAGAAAAACTGACTCCACTGGGAAATCAAACCAGCTCCAGCGAGCCTGGGATTTCCAGCAATTCAGGATTGGAGCAAGAATTCTCCACTTCCCTTCATTGTCTGGCAATTTCCAGGGAAGGGTAAGGTTAACGAGCCCTTCACAAATGGATAATTCCCAAACCACTGTGGCCAAATGCACCCCTGTATTCACACCCTACACACTATTGTAACAATCTTTGGACAAAATATGCCTTGTGAGGTAGCATTTGAAACTCAGTGATCAATACTATTTTGGTGAAATGGCGGTAGCAACAGTCTGTGTAAAGTTATGAAATTCCACCTATAGGGTATTAAAAGCACAAGTTCCAATTCACATAGCCTGATTAGGTGGAAGTGATCAAGCACACCTGTCCTAAAGAAAGGGATGTGCGTTTGCCTCAATTTGCATTTCAGCTGTAAACAGATTCCACAGAGGATAAGAGGGGGAAGAAAGAAGCAGTATACACGGATGAACAGAAACAGCACAAAGCCTCCTTCTTCCACCAAACTCCATGCTCTTAGCAAGAAAAAACTTAACCTAAGGTGAACACTCAGGAAAATGTTTTTCAAATGGTGACCGAGCTATAAAAGGGAAGGGCAAAAACACCCAAGTTCTCTCTCCCTCCTCATCTCCCTTTCACCTAAGATGATCAGAGAAACAGCTGCTGGACCCTGGAAGCAGATCCTGGCCTGAGGGTTTGGGCAGCAATATTACTGGAAGCTGTGGGAAGGGACTTCACAAGCCTAGTTCGTTAAGTTTAGGAAGCATTTTATCTTTATTTTTTCTTGTAACCATTTCTTCTTTAATGCCTTATTACTTTTGTTCACTTAAAACCTCTCTATGTAGTTAAAAAAACTTATTTTATTCTTGAACCAAAACTAATCCAGTGTTGTGAACTGTAAATGGAATTATCCACAAGGTGGCAGATTTTTGTATATTGACCTCCTAGAGGTACAACAGACCTAATCTATCTGGCCTGTCCAGGAGAGGGATGGACAGTGCACAACACGTTTTTGGGGTAAAATTCAGGACAGGAAGTGTGTTGGGGTCACCCTGCATGTGGTAGCCCAGGTCTGATGGAAGCCAAAGTGTGACTGGTGAGTGCTGACAAGCTCTGGGATCAGAGTCGTAGCCACACACAGACACTTGGGGGGGAAAGGGAGGAGCATCACATTGACAAGCTGTTTGTGAGCTACCCAAGTCAGAGCTATAACAGAGAAGCACAGTGAGGTGTCCTTCCGCCCCCTCCCCCCCC